ATGCCGAGATCATCTTCGATTTGCGTCTTGTAGCAATCCATTCGCGCGCTGAAGTCTTTATATCGCTGATCGACCTCGGCGACCGCCTGTTTGATCGCCGTAGCATGCGCGTGACCTCTCTCGACCAAATTGTCAGCAAGTTGAATCAACAATTTCACCCTCTCTCTCGTTTCTTTCGCCGCGCCCTTAAACTCAATGTGCTCTTGCAACAATTGTTCATTTTCAATGCGATTCTTACCGACGTTGGTATGTGTTGCTAGATACAACTCTCCAGTCTCCTTTATCCATTCAAGTGCCTGTTTCGCGCTACGTTCAAATAGAACGTACTGATGACATTGATCTAAGCGTTTCTTTCGCTGAGTCCAATACTCGAGCACCTTGTTTTCCTTACTGACCAACTCCTCGAGAATATTTTTGACTTTATTTGCGGAACCGGCGCTGTTAGCGTGATAGCTGTAAAATTGTAGACTACGATTGATATACTTTAAGAAAGTTTCTCCGGTTCGTCGTACCAGCGTGCACGCCTTGAGAAAGGCTTCCTTTTGCTCCTGATGTCTAGTAATATTTGCCGGTATTCCGGCAGCCTTTTCTCCGTCGGCGCACCAGTCATCATCCACATTGTATTGTAACTCTAAACTGTCGAGAACCGAACGTACCGAGTCCACTGTTTTGTAAAAGTTTAAACTGGCGGTAATCAATTTATGTCGTTCTTCCGCACAAGTCACTAGCTGCTGCCACCGTTTGGTAACGTCCTCCGCGACTTCCCTAATACTCTTTGGGTCGTAATGATTCCCGCTTATTAAAGAGTCTGCCTTATGCTTCACTTGCACAGCGGAGGCGTGAGTATTTGTTATCGCGAGTTGAAAATGATAATGTTCTTTTCCCAGTTGCTCGGCGTCCTCAAAATCGTCTGGTATCCTGAGCGAAGCCAATAAAATCGATTCGCCGTTTCGTATCCATTTGATCACGTGAGAAGCGTCCGTCTGCAGTTGTAGCAATTGAGAGGCTTGCTCCAACCGTACCCTTCGCATTTCTGCGAGGTCTTCCGCGTCTAATTCTCTCTCGTTTAGAAACTCGAGAAGCACCTGTACTCGCGCTGCAGCACTGTGCTGACCATCTGCCATGATACATACTCCCGCTTCTTCCAAAACTTGTGCCAATTCCTGACCACGATGAAGTATTTGAAAAGCGGTATTCTGCATGTGAGCAACTCCGTCATTATGCACACGCAACAATTGTTCGGGAGAACCTTCTCGCGGCGGACCTTGCAACTCTTGCGCCCACATCTCCAACTGACCGCTCGCCTCCAACGCATCTCGCTCGAAGACGCGTAATCGCAGGCATAGTTCTAATCTTAGCTTTTTCGTGGCCCACAAATCTTCCAATTCTTGCCGCAGGCTCGCCAATCTATCTAAAGCCGACTCCACTGCCGATATCGAGCCCGTTGTGTCGGGCGCATCAGCCGCTTCGCGAAGTTCTTGCAACAAAGCTTCGCCTTGAGCTATCGTCGAAGCGCATGCTTCGAGACAGGATGATCTATGCTGCGCGCATTGTTCCAATAGTCTTTCCGCTGTCTCCAGATTCTCCGCCACCTCGTCCTGTTGCATTTCTTGACGTAATTCATCTACCCACCCAATGAGCTGCAAAATGTATCTACATTAAAAATGGCACCGTGCATGCATATGTGTATACGCGAACATACACACATATACACGCATTTTTTTTTACAGGCTACCGCACTTGGTGTAAACATCCCTACATATCGCGACAAATGATGATAAAAATATACCTCCTTCTCATGAGTGTAAAATACTACTGCCAGATCTAATCTGCGACGTCGTTGCTCGACTCTCGCTGCAAAACTACTAACGTGAGTCTCTAATTCTTGCGCCACTGCGTATATCTCGTCGGGCGCGCATTCACCTGTATGAGCGAGTTCTTCCGCAGCGGTCAACAGTTTGGTCGCATTTGTATAAGTATTCTGCAAATAAAAAATATATTTATTAAAGCATTCTTACGATTGTGCATTAGTAACGATTGTAAGTATGATGATTATGATTATTATATTGAGATAATATTATAATAAAAATAGAGTAATATAAAATTACCTGTGCAACATTTTCAAAATGTTCATGACTTTTTTGATAGACGCGTGCTTTCTGCAGGTTACGACCAACACCCGTATTTTTTCTAATGAACACTTCACCGTGATTCGTCAGCCAGTCGAGAACTTGCTTTACATCTTCTTGAAACAGTCTAAAAATCATAATCGTATGCATCACTATTCATACTTTAGAATTAATAAATACATGTAATCTTCACTTTCATACTTTAATGCAAGCCGTTGATGAAGCTTGACTTTGCGGGCATGCCAACGAGCTTCCAACGCTCTATGATGACCAAGAATCTGATGAATGACAGCTAATACATGGGATGCACCTTCACTGTAATCAGCCGCCGGATTACCACTCGTGCCGGTATAACTATCAATATTATGTCCGTCTTGACCCTATGTAAATCAGATGTAAATTGTGATATCTTATAATCTAATAATATAATAATTTAAAATGTAAATTAATCGTTAGTTGGTTAAATAATGTTGCATGCATCCCATGCAATCAATATCTTAGTAAATAATATTAGCCTAATAAACTTTATATAGACTATATAACGTGATTATGGCATAAGCATATACTATATATATATATACACATATGTATATTAATTTTGCCAAATTACAGCATTTATAGTATAATCCCTATTTTTTATCCCATGCAAAGGATAGTTTAATTAAAAGAAGAAGTATAATTTGTAATGGAAAAAAATAAAGAAAGCACTTGCAATTTTTTTCTCACGATTGTAATTATAAATATCAAAATTTTTGAACTTAACAATTAATATTTGCCAGTTTTTAATCCGTTACTTATATTAACAATCAAGTTATTTATTTTCTAAAAAAGATAAAACGCACAAGTAATAAAAAAAGACTTTAATAATGCAAAAAGGGGAAAAAAGAAAAAACAACAATAATTGTTCCTATAAACACCAATTAACGTACATGTTTTCTGGCGACATGATCAATTCCTTGCGGTTGATTACAGACTTGCACAAGATGATCCAGTTGATAAAGAAGCTTCTTACTGGTACTATGCACCTAGATAAGAATTTTATCCAATCCCGTTTGAGAAACATTTGTATACACAACATTTGTATCAAAATTTATTTGAATCAGAGTGTATGTGATATGTATGGCAGACACAATAATTTGAACTATTTATATCAAAGTTTAAATCTTTTAGATAAGAGCAGCTAAAAACTGTAGAGCTGCACTAAGGCTGCGTTCCGATATTCACGGCCAGTACTGAAAATCTATAGTTTACGTCACATACACTATAGATTTTCAGTACTGACAGTGAATATCGGAACGCAGCCTAAGAAATATCAATAATAATAACGAACAAATAAATGTGCGCCAATATGTAAAAAAAACCTATTTGAGAGTACTGAGACGCGCCTGGGTTATATAAAAAGAAAATTACATCAAATGTTAATTATTGCAGAAAATTCGCAGATAGATATTTCCAATAGCACCCAAGTACCAAGCGAGTAATGAATTCTATTGCCTGAAAGCTTTAAAAACTGAAAATTTCTCGTACATAATCGACACGAAATGTATCCAACCCTGAAGAACGGGTGTTCACATTATGACATACTTGCAGCATTGAACCCAGGCCGCTCAATAATGCCTGATATGTATTGTAAACCTGTTAAATATCAAATAAATTTACAGTACATATGAAAAAAAAAAATTTATAAAATAAAAATTGTGTGGGTTGATTTATAACAAAAACGCAAGGATAATTTTGTCCACTGTGCTAAATTTGTGACAAAACCAATCATGTTAGATAAAATATATATTCCCAAGGATAAAATTTACCTCCGTATATGCCTGACACATTGCCTCGTAAAGAGTTTGGTGCTGGCGAATATGAGACTCGAGCACTGGAATTTCATTGGGCAGATTGCTAATTTCGCACGCTTGACTCCAACCAGTTACATTGTCGACATACTGTTCTGCTTTATGGTGAAACACTACACTTAAACTAAGTACCGCGGTACGTTCGTCGAGACCCGCGGCGAATTCCTTCCAAGCTCGATCCAGACGACCCGCCACTGCTCGTACATGTCCAGCCGCATAATGTTGCGTCTCCAATAATTTACCAGCCATTGTGAGGATTTTATTTATATTCACGTAAACATTCATTGAACTCATTGTAAAATGTTTATGTTCCTCTTGCAAATTCTTGGCCAACTGATACGAGCGACCAATCTCCACATAACTAGCAAGAAAAGCCTCTCGGTTGTGACAAATCCAATCAAACATTTTTTCACAGTCCTGTTCGAATAACCGTAGCTGAAAGCACTGATCCAGTTTCATCTTCTTAATGTGCCATAGTTGTAGTAGATGCTGTTGCGCGGCATGCACGGAATCCAAGTGCTGAATAACTAGAGTAGCCAGTGCTCGTCCATCGGAATCCGCGCAACTTGCCGCACCATTGTCGATACTTCCTCCTTCTCCCCCTGTTGCTGTTGCACCTGAAAACACATATATATTACATTGTGTTGTGTACATTTCAGACTTTTCACGTCAGATATTTTTATTATTGAGGAAAAAATATTATATGTCTATCCTTAATAAAAATAGTTGAGAATCATAAGCTAACTATTATTAAATCGCTGAAGCAGGCGTTGTCCAACAACTTCGATATCTTCCACTGGTACTTTCATGATTTTCTTTTTCATTTCGTTATGTAGATCAATGCCATGCTTAGCTCCTGCAACATCGTCAGCAAAGTCATTTCGACTAAGATCCTCTTGCAAGTCATCTAATCGATCGAGAAGATCAGCTGCTTGCCATGTAAAATCTTCTACAACTAATCTAGTATCGATCCATTGAGCATGATCATATTGCAAAGATCCATCTAAATCTGAGGTGAGTTGAGAAGGATCTATAACTTTTACAAGAGCTTCTAAGCTGATTGTATTAATCTGAAAATAAACATATTTTAACATTACTTAGACAATTTATTTAAAAATATTTGCAAACAAATGATAATTTAAACACACGAGTAGTTATTTAGAGTAATATACCAATATACTTACTTCAAAATTATATTTCTTCTGCTTGCCTAACGAAGTTCTCTGTTTCTGCCAGAAGTTTTCTGGTTTAATGAGAAAAGCGACATGAACTATACGATGAAAATGCTCGTGTAATACCTAAAAAAATTTTCACGTTGATTCGCCATCTGATATCTTTCTCTGCATAAGCAGATAAGTAACATTCAAACACTCTTTAATGTGACAACCTTCAAGATGGGTTTGACGGAGTCCCAAGTAGTACCACGCATATCCACAATTACAGTAAATCGTAGGCCTCTAGCTTCATCGCTTGGAATGGCAAATAGATATTGTAGGAGACGTCTATAATCTTCAGGTTTCGCACGTTCGCGTCTCGGTGTACTTGGAAACAGAAGCACAGGACCCCCTCTACGATCTCGTCCACCTGGTAGTATCGCCAAACGTTCTTGCAACAATGGCAATACCTCTGCCGCTCGTGTACCATCCATTATTCTTACTTTTCATTAAATTGTCATGACCTGTTTACATTAATAGATAAAACATATCAATAAACTATTATTATTTCTGTTACTTTATAATGTAGATTATAAAATAAAGAATATTATATAAATATTAGTCGAAATAATAAATCTGTGCATGTTTCTAAATAAAAATCGCATCAAACTCTCTGTCTTTAATAAAAATAACTATATAATTATACACTTTGGCTCAACTTCAAATATTGCGTATTTAAATGAGTTTATCAGCGTATAGTCTCGAAGGAAAAAAAGATACGAGATGTAAAGAAATAACTGTTCAGCTTCACAAATGCATTCAATGTAATAGTCAAATTCAAGGTCACATATACATGTACAAATATATTACAAGAAATCTACATCCCATATATATTTCTATCACGGTACTACTCTTTATGGGAAAGTTCGTCGATGCCGTAACACCGGAGCGGAATGCGAAACGCGAGAACCGTTGTTTGTAGCGTGAGAGTGCGAACGCGACGAATAGCTAGTAATCGCAAGTAGCATCTTATCCCTTCCAAATCCTCCATCAAAATACTATCGCAACGCTCAGACGCTTTTCGCGATTCAGGCTTTACAGACGATCAAATTAATGATAGTCGTAATATCTTGAACGCGACGATAAAATAAAATATTATAGGGGAATTACGCACACGCACATATCGCACACACAGCAATATCAATCGTTTTATTTCTCTAGATGTAACGGCCTGTCATAGATATGCCTACATGCGAATGTTTTCAATGCGATTCTATCATTTTGGCAGGTAGCAAAGGATATTACAATCGCGCGCCGTCATTTTGCGACGCGAACGATACGTCGTGTTTTACATTCCGTTGGCGTGCGCGAGAAATCGCGAGATAAACGGAAAATTCATCGGTTTTGCTTACCCGTAAAAAGTCCGGTTGTCCTGTTACGGCGACTCCAGCGTCTTTGTCCTTTGTTATCAGGCCCGAATTTCTCCTCGAGGCCAGATTATCGTTCATATTGTCACTTCATCGGCACGGTTAAAATCACATCGAGCGACCGTCACGCGAATAAAATTCCGAGAGCACTGCTGCCATGTTCAAATCATAAGTTTTCAATAGCTTCACTCGCCAATACTGTCCAAGGGGACAGCACGAGTCGCGCGATGCGTTCGCACGGATTATATTGTATATATGTATCTATTTGCAACGTTATATTTAGGCTATCACTTGGTTCCACTTAAGGTTATATAAAGGAAGGTTAAGTCATCGATGTAGTCTATGTATTGGCCTTCGCAACCCGTGATGCATTGCAAAAGGCCGCGAGAGCCAATAACAGTTTACCTTATTTAGCATCTCTTTTCAATACTTAGCATCTCTTCTCAATAACGACTGCGCACATAATCGATTCTTTGCATAGCATCATGGGTAGCGAGGGATTGATAACGTCATAGACATAGTATATCTAGACCGAGTGTTGAGGAGTGGGGGCGTATTGGTCAATTTGCTTATGCCCGTATCAGACTACGCATTGAAAATTGAAGATTGAAGATTAAAGATTAAAATTTGACTAATCAGAACAAAAAAGACTAAAATTTCTTTGTCCTGATTGGTCAAATTTCAATCTTGAATCTTGAATCTCAATCTTCAATGCGTAGTCTGATACGGGCTTTACGACTAAATGCACACTTTTGAGCAGTTACTCACAAAAGAGAGGCAACTATGATTTTCTTTCTCACTTCCTTCCGACATGTTTTTCTATCGGGAAACAAAGGCATTCCCCTTCCATTTATATATGTTCTAAGGTGCAAACCATAGACATAGTATATCTAGACCGAGCGTTTGCCTTTATTTAAGGAGTGGGAGTAAAGATACACGTAGAAAAGGACATACTCTGTTTCGTGCCCCTTGCGTTCTCTCTCGCTCGCACAGAGCATAGCGCTCTCTTTCGTCATGCTACGTGCGAGCGAGAGAGAACGCAAGGGGCACGAAACAGAGTATGTCCTTTTCTACGTGCATCTTTACCCCCACTCCTTAAATAAAGGCAAACGCTCGGTCTAGAT